GATATCAAAGACTACGAAAGCAGTAGGTTTAGGGTGGCGTTGGATGCCGTGATCACACATGGAAGTGGAAGTTTGTAGTGGAAAAAAACTTTAACGTGGAACTTAGCCGGCGAAATCCTGCATCCAATAGCTCATGCGTTGATCTTTCTGATGACCACTTTCCTAGAGAATTCACGCTGCATGCTAAGAATAAAGTGAGCAGAGAAAAATCGTGAACTACAGTAGTTGTAAAACGTGATCCCAATATAGATCGATTCTTCTCTCTCCTGACCTATGGCTTGTTACTTACAAAAACAGGTGAAGTGCGGTACAAATTCTATATGAAAAGTAACTTTGGTCTCATAAGTATCCGAATGAAATTATTTACCCGAAAATTTGGATATTCAAGAATCTTGAACTTCAAATTGTTCGAAAATTCAGACATCCGAAAATATTGGCTTTCGAGAACTTGGATGTTCGAAGTTCTCGATTTTCGAATTATTCGAAAATTAATATTTGAATTTAAAGGAATTCCAATGTAGACGAGTTAACCAACCTCTCTATTGATTTGTCAGATGGTGAAAAACCAAAATTCTTCTATATCAGGATATATTTTCCTCATTTCTGTCTAGATTTTTGTTGTGGTCCTGATTAACTTGGATGTTGCTCTTGCCATGAAAAGAGTGTATTAAGTTGAATTAAATCATTAGACTTGTAAAGTTGCTCTCAATGCAAAGCTGATATAATACTGCAAAGATCAAGAAGACTTGTAGCAAATGACCTCTAGTACACACTCCCTCTCCCCCTTCACTTTTCTTGTGATTATCCAAACATCTTCTTACTGTAGGTTGGAGCTAAGCTATCAAACTTAAAATATCTCTCTTTTAATATTACGAATCTGTCAAGACACATTTAAAGAATTCATTTAGAGTTCAATTTCTCACCATGTGAGCGAAACCATCACAGATTGTAGCAAATTAGAGCGATCCATTGAACACCATAAAAGCGCACCGGCGCCTGAACCACCGATCCGCGTTCGACAAATCAACAACGCAAATGGTGTGTGGAAGGGTTTCTGCAGAGGAAGTAAATACAGAGTTTGTTCCGATTTGCAGATGTGTCAACACGTACGATTTCGGCTCGAGTTCGCCCTAAATCCTGTGTTGTTGGACAGCTGGCTTCCAAATACCGTCATGTCGAAACTTTGGTAGGTCCAAAAGCAAACAACGCAGTATTCTCTAACTTGCGGAATGTGAATACCCAGCTACCGCTTGAGGCGAATGGAGCTTGTGTCAGTGGCAAGGTGAGTTGTTTCCTTTTCCTTGATAAGAATTGTGTGAAGTTTACTTATTTTTCCATAAAATGCTGTATGTTAATTTGATGAGTAGAATGTAAACAAAATCTGGGATTTAACATAAGTATAGTGTTTAAGAAGCAAGGATCTAGGCAATTTTAATTACGACTTCTTTGTTTTTAAGTATCTTAAACGCAGTATAGGAAGTTTGCAGTTGTCGTAGAACTTCAAGGTTGCTCTTTACAACTCGTACATTCACAGAAATTAGATTTTCTGGACATCCTGCTCAAGTAGAAACTTGTTCAAGGCATCCTGATGGAAGCATCATTGAAATGTCAAAAAAAGGTTAACTGTAAAACTCGTCAAAGAACATTCGATATGGCCATTTAGTTCGTCGCCGTTCCACTGAAAGGTCCTGCTGGTGTGATTGGGATTTACGACGTAGATATGCCGTGTAAGATCCCAGATGGAGTCATGGATGGAATTTTTAATAAAGCTTTGGTGCGCTGAGTTTGCACTTTGTAAGCGTCGATGCCGTCAATCACGATTGTTGCCTACAGGTTACCGATTTGCACTGGAATCCATTCGACGACGAGGAGTTGGCTGTTAGTTTGGATGTTGGGTTAATAAATTTCTGGCGTCTCACCAAATTTGATGGTCCTAGGAATGAAATGGAACCTGAAAAGATTATGAGCTTAGGAGGAGAGAAGGTAAGCGTATCGTATAAAGTTGTGAGGGGAGGTTATCATTATCAGAGCCAAATATATAGGTGCTTTGTTTCCAATGGCATCCCTTGGCGTCGGATTTGATGGCTATAGCTCTATCAGATTCTTCTATCGAGATTTGGGAGTGTAAATCTATGACAAAAAGGGCAAGGTAGTATACTTTATCAGTGTAGTATATCGCATATGGACGATTTAATAGAATCGTGTCACATTCCGCTCCTGTATTGGCATTGGCCTGGAGTTTTGATGGGCACCGGCTCGCTTCCATCGGCAAGGATCTCATGCTCAACGTACATCAGCCACAGCTTGGGAGCGATTGTCTTATAGCTCAGCAAAAGGTGTTGAACTCGTAATCTAGATCTCTAATCTTTTAGTACACTAAACATCTATACGTTGCTCTTTATTTCCACGTTTTTGAAGGTTCTTGACCGTGCACATGCTGGTCGAGTGCTTTA